GGGGGGGCTGCAAATGGGAAAAAGTGCATCACGTTCTTCATGGATGCCCCATATGAAGTATCAAAAGCAGTGGCGTGGCGTGAATTGCGATATATCGATTGTTATGCCATTTAAATCTATCAAAAAGGATCGATAAACAGGGTGTTCGCAGCGAACACCTTAATAATCGATTCCTTACCATAGGTTTAAATGACATAAAAAGCAATACATCGCAATGCACGCCACGCCACTGATCAAAAGTCATTTGTGCTACTATGCCCACTATGTTACATTACTTTCTGTCATTTGGAGCTTCCCAACCAAATATCGATGGTGAGAGTGCAGAAGTGCATAACTCAGTTTTGACAGTATTATAGAAATTAAATGAAGGTGCTTTAACAAATTTTCCCTGACATTATCGCCATTTTCCATGACATTTCCCGGCTTGCTCTGACTTTTTTGAAATTCCCTAAGATTTTCCGGTTTTCCCTGACTGTGGCAACCCTGAAATTTGACAAGCACTATGGGCATACTCTGGGACGACAGCTCTTTCACCCAAAGAAAAGCATCCTCACTAGGGATGGTCGAATATTTAGATAATCGAATATTCGATATTCGAATTATCGGCACCGAGGTAATCGCATCACATTCGAATATTCGCTTCCGAAGTATTCGCAATCACAAATTCGAATATTCGAATAATCGCATTCAAATTCGATAACCGTCCACCCCTTTCGTCAATCTCGTTATTAATTAAAACTACTCCACAACTCCGCACGGGAATGACTGGCCGTCTTAGTTAAAAGTGTCATTTATCTCTCACGGTACATAAAAAATCAAAAATCGAAGCAATAATCGAAAATATTCGAATATTCGCTTCCGAAGTATTCGCAAGATTCGAATTCTCAAATAATCACAATAATCGCATTCGAAAAGTTTCGAATATTCGAATAATCGCATTCGAATTCGATATTCGTCCATCCCTAAAAAGTACCCCTGATCCCGCGGTTCACAAAACTCTAACGAACAGAAACCGAGGCCAGAACCGGGGCTCATTTTAGGCCACATCCAACATCTTGGAGTTGAGAATTTTAAAAAATTGACTAAATATTCGAGTTTCCCGTTGAAAAATACCCTGTGACACCGCGCTTCATAAGAATCGAACAAACAGAAACCGAGATAGCATTTTAGCCCACGTCCGCCATCTTAGATTTGAGGATTTTAAAAAATTGACAAAAAATTCGAGTTTCCCGTCGAAAAATACCTCCTGACACCTAATTTCAGAAAATTCCATCGAACAGGAGCCGAGATAGCATTTTAAGCCACTTCAGTCATTTCGGATTTTCGAAATTTGAATTTTTTGAATTTTGACAGATTTTGATTTAAAACGCGTGATACCCAAAATCGAAGCTCAGATTCGGATTTCTCGTAAAAAAATCGATGCGATTTCACGTATCATACCCTAACACCGAATTTCAGAAAAATCCATCGAACAGGAGCCGAGATAGCATTTTAAGCCACGCCCGTCATTTCGGATTTTCGAATTTGGAAAATCTGACTTAAAACGCGTGATACCCAAAATTGAAGCTCAGATTCGGATTCCTCGTTAAAAATCGATGCAAATTCATGTATCATACCCGAGCATAGCGCGAGGGAAAGAGACGTAACGTAGGCATACTGATTCGAGCATATGAATCCAACGTGGCAACATGGGTAGTGCTCAGTGAGTCAGCGGAGGAGGAAGAATAAGAATTTGTCGTGAGGAATTCCGCGGGACGAAACCGAATGCTTAGCGCCAGCCGGCGCCTCACCGTTAGGTTGCATCTCGGCGACCGGCGCGGCGCGGCGTAGTTCAAAGGGATAGTATGACGTCGTTAAACCTTTTTCCTTCACGCTGTTTTAACATATTATGCATGAGATCTCATCAATTTTTCACGAGGAACCCGAATCTGAGCTTAGATTTTCGATATTACGCGTTTTAATCTATTTAAAATCGTAAGAGAATTTACAGAATTGTCCTTGAAAATTGATCACACATAAGTGTTTTTTTACGTCATTAAACCTCATTCCTTCACGCTATTCTAACATATGATGCATGAAATCTCATCAATTTTTCACGTGGAATCCGAATCTCAGCTTAGATTTTGGATATTACGCGTTTTAATCTATTTAAAATCGTAGGAGAAATTACAGAATTGTCCTTGGAAATTGATCACACATTAGTGATTTTTTACTCCGTTTTTCTTCTACGTTCACGTAATGAAATTAGATCAACAGTTGACTCATCGACTAGTCTAGCCTAACCCCCCAGAATCTGTCTAAAGGGCGAACGATTTTATCAGATAAGATGTGCGGTCCTAGTTTCCGGGCAATTGCGGTTTGATGGAAGCTGCGATGAGGAGAAACGGAAGATATGCGAAACTCAGGCGGATATTGAGTGAGAGACCAGGTAGGGGAAAGGCTTTCTTCCCGAAAAGTTAGTGCTCGGGCCAAGCTAGTGCTGGAGCATTGTATAGCAGGTTGTGGGAAACTATTTTTTTACAGCAACAACCAATTGGATCGCATTTTGGAAAAAGGAACTAAGAGCATTTCAATGTTGCTGGGATTGTGCAACTTAGGTACATTCTTTGCAAAAAGTAAACTTTGCGACGGTGATTTTCGTCTTGAATTCATAGTTTATTGGGAGTAGAGGTGAAACTAGTTTAGATGATCGTTTATGTTTGCAAGGTTAGCAACATTGGAATGCTCTAATAAGGAGGACTTGAAATGAAAAGGAGAAGCCCTCGGCGCGGCGTGGCGGTCGGCATGTAACACATATTAGCGCCTGCAAGACTGCGTGAATACTTCACCCATTGCGTCAAACACAGTGCGGTCAGAAGCGGTTGGCGTGAAATGCATAGCGCCTTCAAGACTGCAGGAATATTTCACGCATTGCGCCAAACGCAGTGCGATCAGCGCGGCGCAGCGGCGGCGGAAGTTAATATTATTCAACCACATTTATTCTTATGAATGGAGGACCTTGTCCACACAAAGACAGGTTTACGGAACTTAAATTTCGCGCAAAGTTCCGTGAAATTTTACTAGTAGTGTTGACAGGGCTTTCGCAAAAAATGTATCCAACATGAGTAGGTAAACGCGTCTTATGCACCCCTCCCCCTCCGACACGTTCACTTTATGGTTTTTTTTTGATGTTTCAAAACTGATGAGAAGGGAGCGGCAAAATACAGGCGGCCCATGGGCGGCAAGTAGGTAAATCCAGCCCTGGCCAAGACGGAATCTTTTCTCAAACCAACTTAAACGCTACTTTTTTTTTTAAAGGAAAATCTGCATAGTTGCTCTTCTTTTATCTATAGGATGAGGAAGTCAAAGTAATAAAGACCGTAAGGAATACAAAGAATACAAATAAGGGGCCGTCCATAAATTACACGCCTAAGGCTCTTAGGGGGGAGGGGGGCGGTCTCCAGCAGCCTTACGGTTCCGATGGGAGGAGGGGGGGCTGCAAATGGGAAAAAGTGCCTTACACAATGTATGGATGGCCCATACGAAGTATCAAAAGTCATTTGTGTAAAGCTTGATACTAAAGTATGTTAATTGCCCACTATGTTACATTCTGTCATTTGGAGCTTCCAAACCAAATATCGATGGTGAAAGTGCAGAAGTGCATAACTCAATTTTTGACAGTATTCTAGAAATCAAATGAAGGTGATTGATCAAATTTTCCCTGACATTTTCGCCATTTTCCATGACATTTCCCGGCTTTTCCTGACTTTTTTGAAATTCTCTGACATTTCCTGGTTTTCTCTGACTGTGGCAACCCTGAAATTTGAGAAGCACTAATGGGCCTACTCTGGGACGACAGCTCTTTCACCCGTTATTTCAATACTGACTCAAAGAAAGGTATCCTCACTGCTTATCCTCTGTCTCACTCTTGAATTGGGTGGCTAATTTATTACTTAGCGAGAACTTGAAACATCTCATACCTAGAACTTTTACAAATCGCACAACTGCAATGTTGCTGGTATTGCACTTCTCTGTGCACTTCTTTCATCTCTTTTACGGCACACCTGAAATTTGTTTCATTTTAAAATACTACCAGAACTTAAACAAGAATGAACCGCTCTACGTATCAGATGTGCCAACTTCCCATTCAATGTATACTCATGTGGTGATAAATCCCATCAACATCAGCCGATGAGTTCGTGAGTTTAAAATTTTATTGACTGATGGAAAGTACTTTAAATTCGTCTTATTATCTAATGGTGGTTCATCTATTGTAATGTATTTCAATGTCTGTTACTATTGACGGTCATTAACCGAAGGTAAATCAATCTGCTGATGTCTCTCGCTTTGTATTTTTGCAGATCGACGCTTCCGGGAACTTCCCTGATCAGATGTGCGTCGCTACGGTGACTCGCAGAGGAGAGATCTTGAAGTAATCTCTTCTGATTAGTCGCTACAGTTGAAAATTCGATTCCGAGAGTAGAAATACCATCAGTTCTATTCGTCATTTTTGATTTGATGTTAGCGTCAAACCAACATCTTCAAATTTTTCGGGTCTTAGGTACAATTGGACCGCGTCTAGTAGAGTGGAATCAAGCCACGTCAGCTATCGCGTATTCGCGTATATCAGAACTA